CCCACCTCTCTCTCTCTCACACAAAACCCACCTCTCTCTCTCTTACAATACCCCACCTCTCTCTCTCTTACAATACCCCACCTCTTTCTCTCTCTTACAATACCCCACCTCTCTCTCTCTTACAATACCCCACCTCTCTCTCTCTCTTACAATACCCCACCTCTCTCTCTTACAATACCCACCTCTCTCTCTCTCTCTTACAATACCCCACCTCTCTCCCTTACAATACCCACCTCTCTCTCTCTCTCTTACAATACCCCACCTCTCTCTCTCTCTTACAATACCCCACCTCTCTCTCTCTCTTACAATACCCACCTCTCTCTCTCTTACAATACGCCACCTCTCTCTCTCTCTTACAATACCCCACCTCTCTCTCTTACAATACCCCACCTCTCTCTCTCTCTTACAATACCCCACCTCTCTCTCTTACAATACCCCACCTCTCTCTCTCTTACAATACCCCACCTCTTTCTCTCTCTTACAATACCCCACCTCTTTCTCTCTCTTACAATACCCACCTCTCTCTCTCTCTTACAATACCCCACCTCTCTCTCTCTTACAATACCCCACCTCTCTCTCTCTCTTACAATACCCCACCTCTCTCTCTCTTACAATACCCCACCTCTCTCTCTCTCTTACAATACCCCACCTCTTTCTCTCTCTTACAATACCCCACCTCTCTCTCTCACTTACAATACCCACCTCTCTCTCTCTCTTACAATACCCCACCTCTCTCTCTCTTACAATACCCCACCTCTCTCTCTCTCTTACAATACCCCACCTCTCTCTCTCTTACAATACCCCACCTCTTTCTCTCTCTTACAATACCCCACCTCTCTCTCTCTCTTACAATACCCCACCTCTCTCTCTCACTTACAATACCCACCTCTCTCTCTCTCTCTTACAATACCCCACCTCTCTCTCTCTCTCTTACAATACCCCACCTCTCTCTTCTGTTATATGTTAGCTGCATTAGCGCTGCAGCTGCAGCGTTAAACTACAGACGTATACGTCACGGTTACCTGCTGTGTCTGACTGAGTGTTTCTGAGGTGGGGGGGCTGTAGATTAGATCAGATCAGCATGTAAACAGTCTGCAGGCGTCTGTATGAGCCTATATGAGCGTAAAAGGAGAAGTGCTTTAATTTGTCTGCAGACTAATCAAAAGCCCCCTTATCGCAGTGCTGTGTTCAATCAACCAGCTCACTCAGCTCACTCCGCTCACTCAGCTCACTCCGCTCATTCACCTCTCTCAGCTCACTCCGCTCACTCAGCTCTCTGAACTCACTCTGCTCTCTCAGCTCACTCTGCTCTCTCAGCTCACTCAGCTCACTCTGCTCACTCAGCTCGCTCTGCTCTCTCAGCTCACTCAGCTCACTCTGCTCACTCAGCTCACTCTGCTCTCTCAGCTCACTCCGCTCACTCCGCTCTCATCTCACTCCGCTCATTCACCTCTCTCAGCTCACTCAGCTCACTCCGCTCTCTCATCTCACTCACCTCACGCAGCTCTCTCAACTCACTCCGCTCACTCACCTCACTCCGCTCACGCAGCTCTCTCAACTCACTCCGCTCACTCTGCTCTCTCAGCTCACTGCACTCACTCTGCTCTCTCAGCTCACTGCGCTCACTCTGCCCTCTCAGCTCACTGCGCTCACTCTGCTCACTCACCTCTCTCAGCTCACTCAGCTCACTCCGCTCTCTCATCTCACTCAGCTCACTCTGCTCACGCAGCTCTCTCAACTCACTCTTCTCACTCAGCTCTCTCAACTCACTCCGCTCACTCAGCTCTCTCAACTCACTCCGCTCACACAGCTCTCTCCGCTCACTCCGCTTACTCACCTCACTCTCTCAACTCACTCCGCTCACACAGCTCTCTCCGCTCACTCCGCTTACTCACCTCACTCTCTCAACTCACTCCGCTCATTCACCTCTCTCAGCTCACTCAGCTCTCTCCGCTCTCTCAGCTCACTCTGCTCATGCAGCTCTCTCAACTCACTCCGCTCTCTCAACTCACTCTGCTCACTGACCTCTCTCAGCTCACTCAGCTCAATCCGCTCTCTCAGCTCACTCAGCTCACTCCGCTCTCTCATCTCACTCCGCTCACTCACCTCTCTCAGCTCACTCTGCTCATGCCGCTCTCTCAACTCACTCCGCTCACTCAGCTCTCTCAGCTCACTCAGCTCACTCTGCTCTATCTCACTCCGCTCATTCACCTCTCTCAACTCACTCCGCTCACTCAGCTCTCTCAGCTCACTCAGCTCACTCTGCTCTATCTCACTCCGCTCACTCAGCTCTCTCATCTCACTCTGCTCATGCAGCTCTCTCAACTCACTCCGCTCTCTCAACTCACTCCGTTCACTCAGCTTGGTCAGCTCACTCCGCTCACTCCGCTCACTCCACTCACTCTGCTCACTCAGCGCATCTCAGATGAGCTCACAGGAGCTGCTTTAGCCTGTAATGTACCTGAGATCAGCATCACACACACAACACACAAACCCTCATACCTGCTGCTTCTCCTCTCTTCATCTGTTATGTTATTCATCTGCTTAGGTATTTCTGATCGTTTTGTTCTGTCAGTAAGTCAAGGACACTCAGTGATTGAGAACACGAAGTACATTAACTGATAAACAACGGAAAAAGTAACGCAGGCTAAAGCTGATCTTTCGGTTGCGGAGGCCTCTGTGTGATTCTATTATCTGTCTTAGTACAAGGTTGTTAATATTACTATTAATAATGTTTTAATTATTTATCTGAATACTTATTATTCATTATATTATGTGCTCGGGATGATAAAAACATGAATATTTTGTATTTTGAACACTAAAACCCCGTCCTGCTTTAGCTAAAAGCTAACGCCCCGTCCTGATTAAGCTAACACCCCATCTCGCGTTAGCTAACACGTCGTGCTGTTGCAGAGCGCAGCAGCCTCTCCAGCCTCCAGCACTCGTCTGTAATGTATGATTATTTTAGAGCTCTATTGTCCACAGAGACATTATGCTGATCATAATTAACGCTGCGGCGCTTTGATCAGCCTGAAGTGTAGCGGTGTGTTAAACAGACAGTTGAATAATGCATGCGTCCCCCGCTATCTGACCGTCACTGACGGCTGTTCATGCTTAATGAGGCTGTTAGCATAAGCTAATCTCAGCGCCGCGTACCTCTGTAGCTCCAGATTAATAATGATTAATAAAGTCATTTATGATCATCAGTATGGAGAACAGGACAAGGCAGAGGAACGGAGAATCACAGGAGCGGCCAGAAGTTTATCTCTGGCCCTCTAATAAACGCTGGTGTTTTTGAGGAAGTGAACTGTCCCTCATGGAGAGCAGCCAGATCTCCACACGGTCACCAAACATTCACGTTTTCATCACCTGTGGACGTTTACATGCTGTAACACTGCATCGGTCACTTGTAGCTCTTTCACAGAGGATAATAATAACAATAATAATAAGAACCCGTAATTCTTCATCCTCCGCCGTGATTCATGATTCATGATTCATCGCTGTGGTTTCATGTACAGTCTATTTTGGCTTCAGGGTCACAATGGGTCATATAAATGACATTCAGCCCCAGGAGAACGCTGACCGCTGCACAGAGCAGAGGGTAAGCCAGGCCTTAGCATGATGCTAACAGGCTAATGTAGAGAGATGCAGGAAGGGTGACAAAGCCAGTTTCATGTAGCATGTCCCAATGTCCCAACGTCCCAATGTCCCAGCGTCCAAATGTCCCAATGTCCCAGCGTCCCAATGTCCCAGCATCCTGTCTCACGCTTTCTTTTAAACATGTAAATAAGTCTGTTTGCAACATCTTACTTTATTGAGACCTTATCCACATGTTTGTGTATTGGGGGACCAGATGTTCCTGTTTTCTGGGGACAGTACCTGTTTTTGGTGGTCTTTGTTTTTACATGTATTTCAAATATATAAAAATACACTATATGGACAAAAGTATTGGGACACCTCCTCATCACACCTACAGGAGCTTTTATGAATCCCATTCTAAATCCATAGGCATTAATATGGGGTTGGTCCCCCTTTGCAGCTGTGACAGCTTCCACTCTTCTGGGAAGCTTCCTACAAAATTTTGGAGTGTGTCTGTGGGAATTTGTGCCCATTCATCCAGAAGAGTGTGAGAGTGTTTCACACCAAACCACTCTGAATGACTTTGTTTACATCTTAATCATTTAAATGTACAGACATTTGGAAAGTTATGAGCTCCTCCTCTGAGGCTGTGTTTCAGAATTAGCCTGTGTGCAGATATCATGAACATCAGCTCTGAAGAGTTTTGATGGAGCTCAGGAGGAGAAGAAGGAAATTGAATTCTGTGGTAATTTATGAGTCCTATTGTTCGCCATACGCTCTGTGGAAATCAGCATTCCCCCCGTCATGTTCTCCGCTACGCAGTCATGATGTTTTGCTCTGCAGGCTTGCTTTGAATAGTCTATACATGCTGATGACCTGACCGAGGCCTTTTATACTCTTGTGTAATGACTTTTTCAGAGTCGGCTGGCTTCTGTTCTCCTCGGTTCCAATCTACTTCAGTACTGACCTGATGGATTTGTGCTTCTCTGAGTGCTTTCAAATGATATTTTAACTTATACTCAAGTATATCAGTGAGAAAAGTATTTTATTTTAGTAATCTTAGCAATTATTTTACGCCAAAATGACCCCCAAAGAGAAGATCAGAGCCCAACAAACTTCAGTTCTTATACAGCTTCGTATAAACCAGCTTCTTATTCCAATTTTTCTTCCACCTTAAAACAGCATTATGTTTTTTTGTTGAAACTAAAGGGGGAGTGTCGTTACAGTGGCGTCTAGTTTTTCTCAGCATGTCGTACGTCTTTAGGTATTAATGTCACACACACGGACTCAAAAAGAAGGTCCGGCTCGATGTTTTGGCCTCAAATGATCTCAGAATCAACATCATACTGATGAAGATGTGATGACTATAGTAGATAATTCACTCTCATCCTCAGAGACGCTCCTTCACCGAGTTTACACTGAGTTCTCTCCGAATTCTCTTTGAACGCACTCATAAAAGTCAGATTCATCCACTTGTGGGGGTCCGAAGCACAACTGACACTACGAAATGTTCTTCCACACGTTGCATGTAACTACACATTTTCACCAGAGGGGTCTCCAAATCCCCAAATCCTACATAGTGTTGCTTTAAATAGTGCAGCTGTGACATTATTGCTCTAAACCAAACATGATTAATCACTCCAGAGAACACGGTTCCACTACTCCAGAGTCCAGTGGCGGCGCTTTACTCCACTCCAGCCGACGCTTGGCATTGAGCATAGGGATCTTAGGCTTGTGTGCAGCTGCTCAGCCATGGAGACCCATGGAGAGGCAGTTTGGAACTCAGTAGTGAGAGATTCACCAGAGGATAGGAGTTTTATGCACTATGGGCTTCAGCACTCAGAGTATTTGTGGTCTACCGCTTCGTGGCTGAGCTGTTGTTGCTCCAATTCACAGTCATAGCACTTACGGTTATCTGGAGCAGCTCTGGCAGGGCAGAAATCTCACAAACTGATTTGTGGTCAGAGGTGGCATCCTATGACAGAGCCATGTTTAAAGTCACTGAGCTCATCAGTGCGACCCTCTACTGCCAGTGTGTGTCTATGGAGTCTGCAAGGCTGTGTGCTTGATTTTATGCACCTCTTAGCAATGGGTGTGGCTGAAACACCTGAACTCAGTAAATAGGATGGGCGCCCATACACTTTAGCCATATAGTGTATATGGTACAGCTCATCACTATTGCTATATGTAGTATTAGACTCTTAAAAAAAGATGGTTCTTCAAGGGTTCTTTAGTAAAGAAAATAGTTCTATATAGAGCCATGAACACTGAAAGAACCCTTTGCATAATTAAAGGGTTCTTTGCATGGTGAAAGCGTTCTTCAGATTAATGCAGAATGTGTTGTATATGGTTCTGGATAGCACCAAAAAGGGATCTGGCATTGTTACATTGTCAAGCTTGTGACAATACTGGAACAATTTTTGGTGCCATACAGAACCCTTTTCAAAATGGTTCTGAATAGAACCATCTGTAGCACATTCTCCATCAATCAGAAGAATTTGATCATGCAAAGGTTTCTTTGCGTGTTCATCGTTCTATATAGAACTATTTTCTTTACAAAAGAACCTTTGAAGAGCCGCCTTTTTAAGTGTATTTACAGCACATTCTTCCTCAATCTGAAGAATGATTTCATGCAAAGAACAATTTAAGCATGCAAGTCATTCTATATAGAACTCACGGTTCTAAGTAAAATTATTCCCATGTTTGTAAGTCGTTTTTAAGAACCCTCTTTTGTAAGTGTGACAGTATGTAACAGTAACTCTCCACACAGCTCTGGAATCTTCTCCTGGCAGGAATTGAGGTGCTGCTGCTGCTTTGATGCAGAAACAAACTTTTCCGATCAGCCTCGAGTTTCGAAGAGTTGTATGCATTTATATTCAAATAGCCGCTGAAGTTCTGAGGAGGTTTTACTCAGTAAAGCCTCGTTTCACGCTCGCTCTCCCACCGGTGTAAACTCCCACCATAGGGTACAAAGCGCTGCGCCTCCACAAACAGCGACACGCTTCTCTCTTATTTTCTGTGGGCTGCCACATTACAGCTGCTAATTACTACAATTATCCCCCAGAAATAACGGCCACCTCCTCCTCCTCCTCCTCCTCCTCCTCCTCCTCCTCCTCCTCCTCGCTGTGGAACAGTGCGGCCAGGGTCAGTCCAGCCCCTCCTGGACGCGCTCACACCAGCTTCATGCTAAATCTGGACGACCTCACAGCTGCTGGTGTTCAGCGGGTTTATGGAAACTTGCCTGTTTTTCTTTCAGGAAAAGTTCATTTAAGAACCATTTAGAATCCTTGAATGTACCGTTTGCCCCTTCTACCCCAAGTGTAGTCGGCCAGTGAAGACACGTTTGGTGTCTGAAGTTAGCTTCTTAGTTTTTGCGCTGGAGCTACAACACTAATGTAGCTAACGTGCATGCATTAGGGTGAACAGATGTCCCCATTTACTGGGGACAGTCCCTGTTTTTGGTGGTCTGTCCCTGGCTGGAGCTGCCTCCGGAAATGTCCCCGTTTTTAACTGTGCATTAAAAACACACCGGAAAGTCCTAAGAAAGTCCTGCAGATGGGGACATCTCGCGTTATGCTTCTTTTGGCCAGCAGAGGGCGCTACTGCTGTCTATTGACCACTCGCTCAGCTAGTTCTCTTCAGTGCTCTTCAGTGTCCACTGAGTCCTCAACATCAACACAAACGTCTTTTCAGGACGCGAGGTGACCCAGGGGTTAAAGCAGGAGTTGAGTTACCGGACTGAATCACTCTACCAGCTGACCGGTGGGCTCTGTTTTGTACAGGCAGACAGTCCTGGACCCCCGCAGGGCCCACTGTATTTCACACCTTGCCTGTAATGTGTTGCACCTGCAATTCATTATTAACCAATTTTGAACACAAACAGCAGGGGGCGCTCTTAATACTCTCCTTCGCTGCATATAT